AAAAAAAAAAAAAAAAAGAAAGCAGATACTGACCCAGAGTCTGGGCAAGCCCGGTGCATGCGTGGCAGAAAGGGTTTCAGTAAGTGGGAGGCCCTGCCATCCTCTGACTCTGGTCTCAGCCTCACCTGGGCAGGAACAGCGGCCCTGTGCAGACATAGACGTTTTGGTAGGTGCGGGTCAGACTGCGGCTGTACTTCTCCAGGTTGTTCCAGGCATTCTGGTTGAGGTGGGGCACCTGGTTGGACAGGTGGGGCTCAGTGGGCCTGTGACAGAAACCTTTCCTCTATCATAGGGCTGCCCTGGGTTCTGAGGGGGTGGGCATGCTAGTGGGGGACTAGCACAAAGAAACAGGCTTAAGGGCATGAGGGTAGAGCCTGGGCTGGGCTAAGGGTGCTGGCCACCCTCCTCCGGCCACCCCTTCCATACCCCCCAGGTCTCAAAGTCTCAGCTCAAATGAGTGGCAGGAAGAACACACCTCTCCCTTTCACTGAGAATCTGAAGCCAGTCCCCAGTGCCCAAGTGCTCACAGGAAGGCCAGCCCTCCCAACAACCAACCCTGTCCTAGTCCAGGCTGAGCCAGGGGCAGTGCCTGCTTGGAGTGTTATGAATCTGCCTCCCGCTGGAGCTCCCCCAGGACAATGGAAAATAAGTAGAGGACTGAGTCCTTCCTGGCAAGGAAGTTGGGGAAGTCAGGGTTAGAGCTGCTACTCCACAGGTTTCAGCCAAGCCCCACCTCAGGCTCCATCCCACAGGCCTGGACTTAGGGTGGCTAGACCTGGGTGCACAGTGACTGGCACAAACATCCCAACTGTGCCTGGTGTCTTCTACCTGCTTTGAGGCAAGCAGGGTAGGACAATGGCTGAAGACTCAGGCCCCTCTGGACAGACTGAATTCTCTTCCTGCTGTATGGCACTGGGCAACAATGTCTCTCTGAGGCTCATTTCCCTCCTTGCAGCTAATAATGAGCCAGGAAGGGTGCTCATTACTTTTACACGCACTTTCTTCAGTATACGGAGAAACTGAAGCTCAGGAAGGGGCCGGGGACTCACGGTTCGAGTGCCAGCCCTGATCGCACTGAACAGCCGGCGTCCCCAGGGCTCCTCCCTCCCGCCCAGGGCTCACGACGTGATCAGAGGAGCCTGATCTCGAGCGCACGCTCGAAAGCTCCTCGATTCTGCGGACGAACAAGCCGAGGCTCAAGGAGGACAGACGCTGGCCCTGCGTTCCGCGATCGCACTAGGGCAAGGGCGCTACCTGGGGCGCGATGTTGCTCAGGTAGAAGGTGTCGTCCACAGCCTTCTGGCTCCAGCGGTGGTTGGCGGCGGCGGCGAGGTGGCCGCGGTCGAAGCCGCTGCCGCGGTAGTCGGCATTGGTGGCTCGGTGGTACACGTGCACCGAGTCATCCTCGCGGAAGTCGCACGAGCGGCGATCGCCGTCACCGCGGAGCCCCTCGGGCCGCAGCTGCTCGACCACCCAGAGAGCGCCGCGGGTGCGCGGGTCATAGCACAGCACGTAGGACTCGCGGGTCTTGAGCTGCGCCAGCCCGGGCAGCCCATACTTGGCCAGCTCACCTGGGCCGCGGCCCGCCGGTCCCCCGGGCACGGCTGGCACCTCCGCCGCTGCCGCCACTGGCAGCACGGGCAGCCGGCCCAGAAGCCCCGGCGCCGCCTGCACATCCGCCCGCCGCTGCCGCCAGCCCTCTGCAGCCGCGCCCAGCCCCGCGCCCAGCGCCAGGCTCAGACCGGTCCGCAGGGCAAGCATGGCCGAGAGCACCGCTGGCGCCGGGACCCAAGGCGGACCCACTGGCGGAGGACGCTGCGACAGGCGTTGTCGCACCCGAGACACTTAAAGGAGCCGCAACGCGGGAGCCACCGCGGAGAAGGAGCCGTTGGGAATCGAGGACGCTGGAAGACCTTCTCTTATAGTCACAAACGCCTCCAAAGTCTCGGCACTCTAAACCCAAGGAGACGGGACCGACCGCAGCACGTCCCCGGCGCCCTTTCTTTGCCCTTTTAAGCTGAGGGCAGGGCTGAGGGGGCGAGGCACCGCCTCACCTCTGGATTGGCCGCCGGGGTCGGACGCTCCTCCTCTGAGCCTGCCCAAGGACCTCCGGTTTAAAGAGCAGCCGGATGGTGGAAAACTACTCTAAAGCGCTTTAACCACTACAGTACTTCATTTAATCCTCAAAACCTCCCTAGGAGGGGTCGCATAGTTAGCACAGCAAGGACAGACCCAAGATCTGTCTGACCCTCAGTATGTCGTCCGAATCATTACATTCTAAGACAGATAAGCTCCCAACCCTGCTAGATTGGCAAAAGTTTATATTAACACCAGCTTGAGGACAAGGATGCTGGCAGTACCGCTGGTTAGAATAGAAACCTGGCATAACGAATCCAGAAAGCAGTTTGACAGAATGGATGAAGCCTTGAAAGTTTCATATACATAGAGGACTGAGATGGGGTAATCAAAAAGGCAAGTACTTCAAACACAAACATTCACCATAGTATTACTTACACTAGAGGATGAAATAAGCAAGATATTCAGAAATAGGGACTGGTTAAAGACATTTTTAGCAAATTAGGTACAAAAGTATTCAGCCCATAAAAATATTTTTTAATCAGGGTGGCTCCTGTGGCTCAGTGAGTAGGGCACCGGCCTCATATACCAAGGGTGGTGGGTTCAAACCCAGCCCAGCCAAACTGCAACAACAACAAAAAATAGCTGGGTGTTGTGGTGGGTGCCTGTAGTCTCAGCTACCCAGGAGGCTGAGGCGAGAGAATAGCCGAAGCCCAGGAGCTGGAGGTTGCTGTGAGCTTGATGCCACAGCACTCTACCAAGGGC